TGGGGTGGGGGGAGGGGTCTTGTGGGACTGAGCCCTTAAACTGTGGGATCTGCACTAAATCCAGTTAGTTTCAGAATTGAATTGTAAGACACCTAGCTGGTGTTGCACAGAATTGTGTGGTGTGGGGAAGCACGCACACACACACACACACACACACACACACACACACACACACACACACACACACCTGGTTTCAGAAGTATTGTGTGTGTGAGTAAAGGAAAACACGAGTTTGGATTGAATTATCTTTCTCTTCCCTTTAAGAAAATATTACAAAATCATAGCATCAAAAGTATTGTAGATAGCCAAAACATATAGAAAACATTACAGGTGTGTCAGGCAGTTTATTAATATGCTCTTCTCCCTGATTTTGTAATATTTACTTTATGGATCCACTTTATTTATAATTTATGATTTTTTTTCTCATTCAAAATAGTCACCATGTATTTCTTTGCCCTTGTCCGATGAGGGGGCCAAAAAAACAACACTCCAATAGCAGCGTGCAAACATTATCACCCAGCTCTGGGTTCCTAATCCTATCTCCTAATACAAAGAACTGGGGCTCCTTAGAGAAGTGGCAGATTCTAGGACTCGGGCACTGTAAGACAGTCATGGAGCACCTTGTAGCGCCAAAAGTAAGGAACTGTTAAAAACAAGTCACATGGGGCATATCAAAGGAGCCAAGTGAAAGAGCTCCCAATGGCCAAAGCTGGACCAATGTCAGCAACCAAATAGAGTAGTACTGGATTACAACCCAAAGTACGAATAAATATCTATGAGTCCACATAGATTTTAATAAATGATTCAATAAATGAATGGGAAAAAAGAGACAAAGACTGCCACATAATTTATACAGATACTTCCCTAAAAGAGGGGGAGCATAACACACTATTCTGACAGAGAGCTCTCCTTCCAAAGAGGACAGTATGCGAAGTGTGGGAAAAGAAAGTTAACTTTACGGTGGAAAAACCTGGCAAACACTACTTCAGCCAGCTGATCAACAGTCAGAAATCAAGTTGACAGTACCTACCCTTAATATGATATGACAATGGCACTTTATAGCAGACTAATTCCAATAGAGGGAATTCTACAACACACCTGACCAGAACTCCCGCAAACTGTCAAGGTCATCAAACAAGGAAAGTCTAAGAAAAGTTTAAGGTCAATAGGATCCTAATGAGACAACGACAACTATAATATAATATCAGGTCCTGGAACAAAAAAAAAAAAAAAAAGGATTTAGGGGAAAACTAAGAAAATCCGAATAAAGTATAGATTTTAGTTACTAATAATGTATCAATATTGATTCATTAATTAAAATGAATGTTGCCAACTAAGATAAGATGCTAATAATCAGGGAACAAGGTATAAGGTATACCGAAATTATCTGTATTATCTTCATAATCTTTCTGTACATCTAAAATTTCTCTAAAAAATAAAGTCCACTAAAATTTTCTTTTTTTAAATAAGATCAACAGATCACAAAAGCCAAGAAACAAAACCCAGAACATACGTAATGCTAGTATACAATAGAGGGACTATTACAAATTTATGTCAAAAGGATGGGCTTTTGAATAAATAATTCTGGGACTATTGGCTGTTCATGTGGGAAATTAGATTACTGCCTAACTTCACATACAATTACAGTTGGACTAAAATTCCAAATGTGCAAATCTAAATTTTTTAAATTATTAGAACAGCTTAGAGAAATATCTTCATGAAAGGAAAGGTCATCTTAAGCAAAAGAAAACAAAGTATTACCCTACAGAAAAGACTTATTTGTCTACAAAAAAGTTTTCAACTTCTACAAAAAAAATGATATTATTTGAGGAAGAAAAAAGGACAAAAGACTGGCCATAAAAAATGGTGTTTGACCTAAAATGATCTAAAGGATTAATACACAAAATACAAAATAGAGAAATTCTGCAAATAAGAAAATGATAAACCAATAGAAAAACGGGGCAAGGATATGAATAGACATTTATTCACAGAGAAATAAACGTCCATTAAACAAATAGAAATATGCCCAATGTCAGTAGAAATGGATACTGAACACTTAAGATATAATATTTTCCCCATCAGATTGAGTCAAGCCAGGGTTTTCATTAACAGTACATAGTTTGGTTCATTAAATTGTGACACCATGGAAAACAATGTGTTAGTTTAAAAGAATGAGGCAGATATACTGATGTATGTAGAGACAGACACACACACACACACCATGAAAAACCTCTCCAAGATATATTACTTGGTATAAAAGAAAAGTTATAGAACAGTCCATAGAGTATGACAGACTCTGTGATTAAAAAATAAACACATAAAACAATATACTTATGTTCATACATATGTGTCTAATGTACAGAAAATTCTTGAAGGATGCCCCTCAAACTGAGACAGAAACTAAGACGGGCGCAAGGGAAGAGTGGGGAGTAACCGTTCCTTTCTTTTTTTAATCTAGGCATCTTTGACAATGAGAGTGCTTTTATGTATTACTTGTGTAATTAAAAATATTTTCCTTAGTGAAATAAGTAGGAAGAAGGAGAAGTGATAGAAGTTTTACGTTGAAAGCATCATGTGCATTGGGGCTGCTGTTAGTCCGGTACCGGTTTCCTGCTGTAGGAGCACCTGCCCTTCAGTTATGCTGACTGTTCCCCTGGAGACCTGATAATGGCACAACAGCTAGGCAACACTGCTCACAGTACACGTGACTCCTGGCTGGTAAACAGCATCTGGTCTGCTGGGAACTACAAGGGAACCACAAGCATCTGATGGGTACACCATACTTTGGGACTTCCCGAATTGCAGTGACTCTTGGAACAGGCACGACCTCTCTGCCTGACTCAAACCTTGTTGGGACATACAGGTCAAAAAATATCACAAAGCCAAGTGTGAGTCACACAGGCATTTTAGATTTGCACCAAGTGAGCCAGCTATGTGTGGAAAAGTCCTTTTCAAATGCTATATAGCCTATGCTATTTTTCATGACTGACACCTAAACTGCCTTTTAAACTATAAATACTCCCATTTTTAATCATTCCCCAAGTTTGATGTAAGCAACGCTATTTTGCATTCAATTAAACTAAGGTATTTTTGGTGACTACCAAGGCATAAAACTTAAATTCATTACACAACTGTAGTAAATTTATGATTCAAATAAATTTTATCTATTAATTTCCCAAACCACTATGGAAAGTTAAATCCTTCCTTTTATATAATACAACACAGTGTGGGACTACATAAAAACTAAAATAAAGAAAAAACTTTTTCCAAGAAATTGGCCTCCAAGTTAATGTCTTGCAAAAAAAAAGAAAAAGATTTTTATGTAATTTAAAAATCAAAATCACTTCCTAAGAAAAACTACCCTGAATGTAAATCACAGTAGAAAAAAAGAAAATCATTCTCGATGAATAAAGATGAGACAAAACTTGCCAAAATGTAAGTGTGAATATGCTTTAAACAGCAAAGAATGATACTTGCAGTCGTGCAAATAAAAATGCCAATGTAACATAATACAACACAAAATCAAATTTGTGCTTCAGCTTTTTAAACATTATGGTGCCAGTAACTGTCTCGTGTGAGACAGCTATTTCAGCTGGTTATAGAATGGTCTGAACAGAACCAAACTCAGCATGGTCAGTGCAACACAGAAAACTTCCTTTTTAGTCACATTCTATGCCACCACTTCTTTTGAGGGGTCTTAAAAATTCATGGTGTAGCTCCTCAAACCCACTCACATTCTGTCTTACTAGTTCTAGGAAAGGATCCGGGAACACGCATTTTTTTTTAAAGTGCTGATTCTGGGGAATCCCAGAATAGGAGTTCCAAGGGGCATCGACCATCCGCACTTCACCTCCTGAATCAGGTCAGAAGGAGGGATTGCACACATTACACACATGCATAGGTTTTTTCCTTGTCTTGGAAATCTTTATTCCAGGTATCACTAAGTCTTACACTGGATGATAAGGTGAAATGTGTCTGTTTTAACTGAATCCCTTAATGACATGTATCAACTTCAAAACAGTTTTTAACCCCTGGTGACCGGGAAAAAGAAAATGGAAGAATGGGTTAGGGATAACGTTTTATTTCTTAAAAGAAAAAAATGAGAAGCCTGAAGATAGGAAGAAAGTTCCTATCTGTCATTAAATCTGAGTGAAGCTTAATTTCAATATCATGGTACAGTAGTCCCCCCTTATCTGTGGTTTCACTTTCCACAGTCAACCACGGTCCAAAAATATTAAGTGGAAAATTCCAGAAATAAACAATTCCTAAGTTTTAAATTGTGCGCCGTCCTGATTAGTGTGATGACATCTCCGGCCGCCCCACTCCTTCCCACGGGGGACACGAATCATCTCTTTGTGCAGTGTCTGCACCCTGCATATGCTCCCCGCCTGTTAGTCATGTAGTAACAATCTCGGTTATCAGATCGCGCTGGCATTCAAGTCACCCTTATTTTACTTAATAATGCCACACTCAACTTTTATTACAGTATTTGTTATAATTGGTCTATTTTATTATTAGTTATTGTTATTAATCTCTTACTGTGCCTTATTTATAAATTAAACGTGATCACAGGTATGTATGTATGTATAGGAAAAAACAGTATCTATAGGGTTCAGTGCGATCTGAGAGTTCAGGCATCCCCTGGGGGTCTTGGAATGTATCCCCCACAGGTAAGGGGAGACTACTGTGTATTTGCCACACTTTTGTGCATGCTTAAAGTACTTAACATTTTTTAAAGAAGTGTAAATGTATAACATGATCCCAAAAGGCTGGACAGTACAAGACCATCAGTATAAGCCACTACCCCCTGGAGGAAGCAGCAATCAAGCCCTCCCGTAAATTTTATGTTGGAAGGATGCGTTGATTTCACACCCCTCGTGTTGGTTATAGAAAAACAAGCATGACCTGCTTGCACTTGCTTAAAGCAATGCTGTTTTCCATGGTAAACAAGTAGATTTAAGTCAGGATGGAAGGAAACTTCCCCTCTTGGGTTCACATACCTGTGTCACTACCAGGTCCTGTTGACAAAGCTGGCATGATGCAGGCTGGACTCCGCACTCCACTCTCTCTGCTCAGAAAGCCACAGGGAATTCCAGCTCCACGGCCTGCAGCCACGCTGTCTACGGAGAACTATATATCGCGCAGGCCGTTTCTACAAAGAAAAGGAACAGTTTTAAATAATAAGGAAGATTACTAAATTGCAATATTCTGTAACTAATTCTTTTTCCAACCCACTATGAGCGAGATCACAATTCTTCAGAATTTTTTCAACATGCTACATGCAAATATTAAGCGTGAGAGTTTTTTATTTTGATGTGAAATTTCTAGTTAAAACACGAAAGTTCTTCATGGATGTATCAAGACTTCCTCAAAGATTTTTACCATTGGTTTGAGGGCTGATGAAGGCGTAGATGGAGAACTTAAAGACGCTTTAGTAAGCCAATGCCATTCTAATATTCCTTCCCCTGTTATAATTCTAAACTTTTGAGTTGTCGGAAAAATCATGACGCATTTTTGCAACAAAAACATAGAAAAAATATGTCATGACTTTTCCAACAACCCAATATGTTTCTAATGTAGAACAGAGACTCTCTAAATTGTCAACAACTTATAACTAATTGTAATATTTAAAAATAGCTCATCCTAATATGACAACTGCAAAATTCTCTAACTGAAAACTGCAAATAACCTTGACATACTAAAATTGAAGCAAGATGTTATTACAGTAGTGCTAATAACCTAAACTAAACCTAACAATCCAAGCTACTATACAAAAGTAAATTCATCTAGTAAAAATTAAGCTTTGATGTATCTTGGAAAATACCAATTTTTTTCAATAACTATTTTAACTAATGTTTATCCCAAAATAAGCAGTAAAGGCATTAATGATAGTTGTTAAGAGCAAAAACTTAAAAGAGTTTAACCTAATCTCTAATCAGTGCTAGACCTTCGGTCTAGGACAAGTTATTTAATCTTAGGAAGCCTTAATCTCTTTATATACAAATAGAGATAGCAGCAATTTAGAATTGTCTGACAATTAAATACACTAAGGCACACAACACAGCCTCTGGCACTCAGCAAGCAAACAATAAATGCTGGCTATTATGATTGGAGTTGTTTAATTCAGGTAATGAGATTATAAAATGAAAACATAAAAGAAAGCAGCACGATTAAAATTTACATTGGCCTGACACCTAGAAGGCCATGTGGTTTAAATTTGGACCACTGCGGCCTAATAACGGAAAAAACACTGCATTTACATTTTTTTAGAAATCTCAGCAGAGCCACACAATGTGTTTAAGTTTGTTTTTAATAATTTTCCCCCGTTCTCTATAAAGCAAATTCAGTAATTTAAAAGCATATTTTAATGCACATTAACAAGAAAAACAGATATCGCAAACACTCGAAAAACTGCCTCACTTCAATTCTTAAAACCTTAAAATTGATGATTCATATTACAGAATAAAGAAAAATTGTGCTTGCCAAATTTCCCCTGAAAAAGTCCAAACTATAAAATTCTGTTAAAGCCTTCTAAATTAGCTTTTTAATTACCAAAGTGAATGCCAGTATGAAAAAATTCATCATCAAATACTCTGGTCAGAGACAATCTAGCCTATCTTGTACAATGTCTTGAATTCTGTTTTGTATTATTACAAAGGTTGACAAAGTTAAAATACACATAGAAATCCATATAGAGAAGAATGTTCATCAAAAATATGAGAGCAATTATTTTAAATACCAAATGAAAATATAAATCACTAAGTTAAAAATAAAAAATAAGAGAGAAAAAAACAGAGCAAAGTTTCATTAATGGTCATCTCTGAAACTGTTTGCCCTAACAATTTTAAAAGGCAATTCTGCTTTGCTTTTATAAATTATTCTAACTATCAAGATTAAGATTCAACTACATAAAAGGGTTCCTAAATTCAAACAAAAGGAAAGTCAAAAACAGACCACAGATAATTTAAAGAATGCGTTCAATAAGTAGACTTTTGGTTTGCTGCTGGAAAAAACAAAGAGGTTAGAATCTGTGAAGTGCATACACACACATTTCTACCAGTAGAGCAATATATCTATGTGTATGTGGGTAGGTAGCTGTTATATGTACGTGTATATGTAATTTAAGCTCTTTATGCCATGAGAAAAATCATAATAATTTGTATGGTATAAACTGCCTAGCTACAAAAATACACATACCATGCAAAACTACCACTTTCTACATGACTCAAAAAAGTTAGTGTTTCACTTTCACAAACCACACACCATATAAGCAAACTTATCCTTATATCAAACAAACATTCTATTAATACTAAGACAACCTTACAGTCCACATCAAAACACCCTTCTGATTTGATATTACTTCTGTACATATATGCCATATATAAAAGGCTTTAGCATTTCTCATGTTTTATTTCATAATGAACACTCAAGGTTAAAATTTTCCAAAGTCATATTATTTAAGAAATGTATGCTACAAAGTAATTATCTTCTCAGAACACATACAAGTATATTAATAAAAAATAAATGCTTTGCTAAAATTCCGGCCATTAAAATGCTCAATATTTTGTGGAACGAAGCGGAGTTGCTGGGTTTAACTTGCAAACTGAGCTAAATTTTTGTAGTAATCATGTTATTTTCTTTGGCTAAATTTATTGAAAATGCTTTGGAATTTGTCAGAACCCAGCCATAATTATTACTGACTGTTGTATGGAATCGATTTACTACAACACAAAAATACCAGCTGTTACAGTATGTCCTGAGAGGGATTACCAAATATTCTTAAATTGAAGTTCAATCCATCTTTCTATAAAAAAGAGAGAGCCCCAAACGCCAGGAACATAACAGTGGTATCAAGTGCACCTGAAGCATTTACAATACCCAATAGAACTATTACAACCCTCCTTTAAAAAGGCTTATTTTTGAAATTTCATTATTCCAGTTGTACCTTGCTTCTATATATCACACTGTATCAGGTTCTTCTGGCATCTATCATGTGGAAACAGTGAAATATGTGAAGGTCTAGGAGCTTACAACGTCCAATTTCTACCAGCCCTGGGTAATCCTTAGGGCTCCCGTGGCACTTGTGACATCTAGTGGTCAACCGCAGAAGTGCAAGTGTTTGAAGCAAAGTTTTTTTGAGTTTTCAGTGGAGCAAATATTTTCTTATTGCACCCAGTGAAATAATCATTTGCAAAAAAAAAAATGCATACACACATACACTAGTAAAGAAACATATACTGATGTCTCCTCTACTCTCAATACTCACTACAACACTACTTCACTTCTGGCGCCAGATATGGTTTTCACACATCAAGCAATTCTACATCATCAGCGAGAGGCCTACAATTTAATTCAATTCTGACACTTTCTACCTGGAGATAGCATCAGATCCCACAGGTTAAAGGCTCACTCCTACAAGACCTCCCCTCCTCCTTCAGATGTCAATCGAAATTCCAGGTTGTCACCTGTGTTTCTGATCGACTACCCATAAACATAACCCCCTCCCTGGGTTTAATTTGCTAGAGCCACTCAAAGAACTCAGGAAAACATTTACTTACTAGACCATCAGTTTATTATAAAAAGATACACGGAAGCACAGCCAGATGGAAGAGATACATAGGGCAAGATATTTGGGAAAGGGCATGGAGATGCTATGTCCTCTCCCCACACCTCCACATGTTCACAAACCCAGAAGCTCTCTGAACCCCGTCTTTTGGGGTGTTCATAGAGACTTCATACATAGGCATGATTAAATCATTGGCCATTGGTGACTGATTTAATCTCCAGCCCCTCTTCAGTGGGAGTGGAACTGACAGCTTCAACCTTCTAATCAAGGTTGATCCCCCAGCAACCAGCCTCCATCCTTAGAGGCTTTCCAAAAGTCACCTCATTAACATAAATTATTAACATAAAGGTGCGGTTGAACAAGCCACCTTTATCACTCTTACAGTTTAGGTAATTTCAAGGGTTTTAGGAGCGCTGTGCCATAAAACAGGAGTAAGACCAAATATATATTTCTTATTATAAATCACAATATTACACACACCCACAAAGTTAATGCAAATGAATAAAGTATCGGACCCATATCCAAACATAATTTCCTCTCAAGTTGGGGGAGTATTCAAGGATGTGAAAACTTTTAATTAACTGCCATCATAAATATTTAATAATCATATTAACATCCTATCATTTCAGGAGACCACAACTATACCCAGGAATCCAACTGTAGATTACTTCACCAGAGACAAATACACTGAAGTTATACTTTCAAAATCTAATAGAGCAATAAAATAACAAACAGGAGTAAACATTTTTACAAATGTAATATAAAAGATCTTTAAAAGCTCAATTTTTACAAATCGAACATCAAAGATTTTCAAAAGGCTGAAAGATTCGTTGGTTATATTAGCAAATACAAGAAGCAAACTGGTATCTTATTATTCAAACGTTCATGAATAATAATTATAAGAAAATAAAGGCGGCAACACAGCTAAGTGGCATAAATCTGCTTATATAAAATGATATTTATACCAGCAGTTCTGAAAGTGTGGTCTGCAGAACCCAGTGGACTCCAAGACCCGCTCAGAGGGGTGCATGATGCCAAATTATTTTCATAAAACTAAAATATTTTAAATATTTAATAGTATATGTTAGCTATATTGATATCGATTATATTAATTGTTGACAATATTTTAATAATTTTAAATTTTTATAAAAATAAAAATGTTATTTGCCTTTTGCACTATATCCACATTTGCACCAACAATGAAAAGCTATGCTGGGTGGGCAAAACAACTGGCTCCAAACTGAAATAATTCTTCCTTGTATTCTCCACTGCTAAGCACCCTCATTTTTAAAAAAATTAAAAAAAAAAAGACGAAGAGAGAAAAGTTCACTTTAGAATGTCCTTAATGAAGTTATAAAGATTAATAATTAACTGACAAGCACCCATCTTTTTAATACTCTGTGATGAAGTGGGAAGTACAGAGAAAGCGCTGCTGCTGTAAACGAAATAATGGCTGCCTTAAAGAAAAGCACTTGTGCAAGCATTTTTGTAAACTGAGCCAATCATTTTTTCATGTAACACCATTTTTACTTGAAACCAACAACTGAAAGGCAAACTATTCAGGCTACTCAGATTAATCAGGCTTG